TATAGACCTCAAGGATGCTTACCTGCACATACCAATCAGGCATCAGTCCCAAAAGGTTCTGAGATTTGCCATCAGAGGATAGGACACTATCAGTACAAGGCTCTCCCCTTTGGTCTCTCCTCTGCACCCAGAATCTTCATGAAGGTTTTGGCAGAAGCGCTGGCAGCACTGAGACCTCAGGGGATAGAGGTCATCCCATATTTGGACGACTTTTTTTTCGCCCATTCCCGGGAGGCCCTGCAAAGAAACTTAGATTTGGCCATTGCCCACTTGGAGAAATTAGGCTGGCTTATCAATACGGAGAAATCCCAACTTCGACCAGCTCGATTTGGTTACCTTTCTGGGATATCAGATAGACTCGTCGGTATCTCGCTTGTTCCTGTCTTTCTCAGGAAGTATCTTTCCGGAGCATAATGCACCTTCTAGGTCTAATGACCTCGGCGATTCCTGCAGTTGCTTGGGCTCCGCTTCATTCAAGGCCACTGCAGACCTTTCTTTTACAGCATTGGGGAGGGGACAAGGAGAAACTGGATGTATACATCCAGATTCCGTGAAGGCGTCTCTTAGTTGGTGGATGGAAACACAGAATCTGGCAGCAGACAGGCTTTGGAATGTGCCAGTGCAATTAAGGGTCACCACACACACACCAGTGCCTAGGGCCAGGGCGCTCATTGCCGGGAGCACTTAACTCAGGGAGTGTGGAACCGCGCTTGGAGTTGAAAATCCTCAAATATGAGAGAGCTCAAGGCAATCGGGCTGGCCTTACTCCACTTTAGTCCGTAATCCGGGGTTCTCATGTGTTAGTACTGTCAGACAACTCTACCACAGTCGCTTACATAAACAGGCAGGGGACACAAAATCTGGTCTCCTTCTAGCTCTAGCAGAGGTTATACTTTGTTGGGCAGGGAACAACCTCTTGTCCCTCTCAGCAGTTCATTTGAAGGGAAACTTGAACTCCTTGGCAGATTTCCTAAGCAGAAAGCGGCTCCTACCGTTGGAATGGTCACTAAACGATCAAACTTTCCAATTAATATTAGAAAAATGGGGGACTCCAGTGGTGGACCTATTCGCAACCAGAGAGAACAGGAAAGTGAACACAATTTTCTCCCTGTGTCCATAGGACCGGGCTCTGGGTGAGGACGCCTTTGCCCACCCCTGGACACTTCCTCTGTCATATGCTTTCCTGCTTGTCAGGCTGATCCCCCAAAGTTCTATCAAAAGTGGCGCACAAACAAGTGACCCTCATTCTCATTGCCCCTTGGTGGCCAAAGAGACCATGGTTCGCGACCCTGCGGAACCGCAACATCAAACCACCTTGGATTCTCCCGATAGGTCTAGATCTGCTGCTGGTCCAGGGACCAGCTCGTCATTCTCATTTAGAAACTCTCATCCTTCTGGTTTCCGAAACCAGGCCGTCTGGTTTCCGAAAGGGAGATCCTGCTGACTTTTGGAAAATGTGTCCACTCTGCTTAGCAGTAGGAAGGAACTACCTCCGCAATTTACGGAAAAGTCTGGAAAACGTAATCTTCCTGGATTCTTCTCAAAAACTTGGTAGAGAAACCAGCCGTAGTATCGGTGTTAGTTTTTACAGAGTGGAGCAGATATGAACTTATCCTGTAGTACGCTCAAAGTACAAGTTTCGACACTGTTTTGTTCGAGATTAGACTAGTGGAGGAGCCTTTGATTAAAAGATTTAAAGTCTAGAAATAGACCACTTACTATGAAGAGCTTTCCCTCTTGGGATCTGTCGGTGGTCCTCAGAAGTTTTCTCAAACCCCCTTTTGAGCCTATTGAATCTTGCTCGCTCAAATTAACTTACTATTAAGGTAGCGCTATTGTATCAGCCGGAATCGAGCGAGATCCATGCTTTTTCTATAGCAAACCTTACTGCATTTCACATAAGGACAGGATTGTTCTTAAACCAGATCCGGGGTTTTTGTCTAAAGGTGCCCATACACTGTGCGATTATCGCGGGAAATCCCGCGATCGTACGATAATCGCAAAGTGTATGAAAGACGTACGACCGTTTTTACTGTATGGTCACACGTCTTTTGTCTAGGGAGCACGCTAGAAAATCGTACGCTTTTCGGCTGGTTTGAACGGTGCTCGGGAGACAAATGCCGAACGGGCCGGTGTGTGCACACTGCCCTTCAGCATTGCGGTCTTTGGAAGCCTGCCCCTCAGGGGGGCGGGCTTGCAATGATCGAGAGTACGATCTGCCTGTCCAAGATGGGCAGATCGTACGTTTTTTTTAAATTACTTTCCAACCATCGCAAGACTAAAGTCTTGCGATGGTTGTAAAGTGTATGGCCACCTTTAGGTAGCTTCTGCGTTTCACCGTACACAGGTGGTAGTTATCCCATCTTTGTATCTAACCCAGGTAACGAGGAAGAAAAGAAGCTGAGGGGTATTTAGGTCAAAAGATGCACATTAGAGTGCCTGGATAAGACCAACTACTGGAGAAAATCCAGCAATTTGTTAGTGCCTTTTTTCAGGCCCTAGACAAGGCCTAAGAGCATCTAAAAGCACAATCACCAGATGGATAAAACTGGCTGTTACAGAAGCCTATAAATATCAGGATTTATTTCCACCACAGAACGTGACTGCACACTCTACCAGGGCATGGGCTTCGTCTGTGGCCGAAAGGGTAGGGGCAACCCCAGATCAAATCTGCAGGGCAGCTGCTTGGACCAGCTTCCATACGTTTCTTAAGCACCACCGTATAGATGTGTTTGCCAATCGGGACCAAGAATTTGGTAGGGAAGTCCTGCAAGCAGTTAGCCCACCCTGAACTATACGAGTATAGGTCCTTGCCTATTCTCTCGGATGCTCTCCTGGAAGATGACTTGGGGAAAAACTGAGTTAGGTACCTGGTAACTCAATTTCCAGGACAGCATGGTTCTCACCCTTGGGAATCTATGCTTTTGTGTATCCTTCGGTTCTGGTTATTAACCAGTTGACATCCGCGGTGTTAAACCCCCTTCCCATCCAGGCCATTTTTCAGTATTCAGCGCTGCGGTACTTTGACTGACATTTATTCCGTCATGCAGCGCTGTACTGAAATGAATTTTATACCCTTTTTTGGGGACAGATAGAGCTTTCTTTTGGTGGTATTTATTCACCACTGGGGGTTTTATTTTTTTACTATATTAAGGAAAAATTACCGAAATTTAAAAAAAAAACAGTTTCCCCTATATTAAATGATAAAACATTTATTATTACCCAATTTTTTGGTAAAATATAAAAGATGGGGTCACGTCGGGTAAAAAGACACTAAACATGAGGCATGCTAGCGCTGACCGCTTTATTGGTGTGGATGATGTGTTTCCTGTTTCAGGTGGGGAGGAGACTATCTCTCGGATGCTGTCCTGAAAGTTTCCTGGAAATTGAGTTACCAGTTACCCAACTTAGTTTTTCGTGCATAGTTGAGTCGCTTAGCCTTGTTTCCACATCTGAAGAATGGCTTTTTGGCCGCAGGCTGCAGAAAAATGGCAGCAGGTGCTCTGGATTGATGAGTAAAAATTTGAAATTAGCATTTGTTACTCTGTTGGACTGCTTTTGGATGTCTCCACAGTCTAAGAATACATGTGCCCCTAAATGGAGGTTAAAGAAAAATAGGATTTTTGTACTTGCTGTAAAGACCTGTTCTTGGAGTTCATTCAGGGATATATGATTTCTGAAAGTTTCAGGTTATAGCGCAGCCTACAGGGGAAATAAAGACACTGGCAAAAAAAAAAAGAGCGGTTGACCAGCACAGGATAACCCTGCCCACAGTCATCATGCCTCAACTCGAGGGAAGTAATTCAGAGCATGACAAAACATTGGAGGAGCGATCTGTGTCCTGCAATGGACATCCAAGAAAGGATTTTTGTACTTGCTATAAAATCCCTATTTCACTGTACCTAGTTTTAAATAGCATTTCATTGGAGTGGGTCCCATCCAGTGCCTGACAAGCCAACGCTTCATTCAATTTAGGATGCTAAGAAGCCCCGTATGTGATGGCAAAAAGGATGTGACGGGTCCTCTTTATGGAGACAAAAGGGGTCTTTAAAACCCCTAATGTCACTTAGGGACCCCCAAAGAAGCTGATGAAGCATAGCCGCGAACGTGCGGAATCCGCCGGATTATCACGCTTCTTGTACTATTTTGGGAGCCGCGCAGTCTCCAATAGTCTGAGCGATGCACATTAAAGTGCATTATTTTCTGTTTGCAGCGGCACCATGCATATTCGTATAGCCGACTACGTGCAGACAGCCCCCACCCCCAGTGTGAATGGAGCCTTAGTCTGCTGCCTTGCTTAGAGCTTCTAGTGTGCTGTAGTTGCTTGCAACATGGCAAAACCATCTTATTGCAGGATTTTCACCTTCCTGTCTCTTGATCTTCAGTCCACAGTTCTGACAGTGGCATGAGCTTGTGCTCCTTTCTACAATATGTCCGGGGTAGGAAGGTGAGCAGGGAGCAGCACCATTGTTTTTCTGCCTTGACCAGCCGTGCTAGATTTCTGTAGTTGCCCAAAACCTGTGGGCTCTGAACAAGGTAGCAGAAAAGTGATGGTAGCAAAAAAGTCATGTTATGCTTGGCTGTTTGTTGTTTTAATGCAGGGACTATGCAAGGTAGAAAGAGCCCAGATGCTGCACTAATAATGGCTCTGATGGAGTACTATATACGTATAGGAATGGAATTTAACTACTTCCGTACCGGCATGTTACACCCCCTTTATTACTAGGCCATTTTTCAGTTTTCAGCACTGTGCAATGTTGGCTGAGAATTCCTGTCATGCGACATTGTAACAAAATAAATTTTGGGGACAAATGGAGCTTTCTTCTAATGGTATTTAAAAACTGCTTTTTTAAAAAGAAGTAAAACAAAGACCAAACATTTTGTAAAAAAAAAAAGCCAGTTTCTCTTTGTTTTGTGAACCATGGCAAATAAAGATGGCAAAAATGTCAGGACTACAAATTAACATTTTTTCTTTTTTTTTTTTTTTCTGTTTTTGCTAGGAGCAAAGAATTTGTACATCATTTCTGTTAAAGGAATCAAAGGCCGCCTGAACAGATTGCCAGCTGCTGGTGTTGGTGACATGGTGATGGCCACTGTTAAAAAAGGAAAACCTGAACTTAGGAAAAAAGGTGAGCTATTTTGGTATTGCCACGCATAATTAATTCAGATTATGGGATATTGTATATTGTTCTCCCTGTTTTGTAGATTAATACTTGTGTCAATGCTACAGAGTGGCTATTGCTAGGCAGCATCTTTGTCTCTTTATAAACTGAGCTCTTAAGGGGGGTTTAGTTCTTCTTCTTCTTTTATATTTTTTTTTTAGTCCATTTTTGCCTTGTCCACTGGGATGCCCTCAAACATTCAGAGTGCAGTGCACACCAGACAATGCTAGGGAGCATTGTCTGGTGTGCACTGCTGCTGTATGTTGCCCTTTTGTGATGTCAACCGGAGTTGACTGCAACAATGGAAGAGGCAACAGACTCCCTATGACTTGCTACTGCACATAGAAAATGTGTGGTAGATGGCCCTGAAGCCTCCTGGGATGCGTGACATCTGTGTATCAGGAGGTTACAGACAGCACAGCTACGTCATTCTCGTCTAGGTGAGAAACAAAATATGAAAAATTGGAAGAGTTTTGCCCCGTGTGTAGCGTTTGTCAGGGGAAAAGGGGAAGGCAAACCAGATGTGCTGGGTGAGTGCACCGGTTGTGGCTGGAACGTGAGGGATTTGAAGAGTAGGTTACAAACGAGGGGGGGGGGGTTCTCATTGCGGGTGTGCAGTTTCCGTTAAGTTCGGACCGGGGTGTCCAACACGTGTACTGTGAAAAACAAAATTGGAAAACGGAAGCACCACTACCTGGCGCAATAAATGCGGTTGAGTGGAGCTGGAATAAAAGTAATGGACTCAACATGTGGCTGGGTTAGCGTTTGCATGTAACCCCCTAGGTGGGGTGAAGCGGTGGATTCAGTCCCCCTCTTACTGGGTTCAGTCCCTCTTGCTGGGTAGTGCGGATGGAGACACAAGGGTAGAAAAGCCAGAGGGTGAGGTAAATTGGTAGGCAAGGGAGGGGTGAACTTCTGAAACTCTCACAGGATAGCGAAGGCAGGATGTCAGCGACAACGGTGTGGTCGATGTTGTGCCAGGATGGTGGTGGAGTGATCCTCTAGGTGGCTGTTGTCACAGGGGTCCTGGTTGGAGATTCCAGTGACCGGAGCTGAAGGGTGATGTGGTGCCGACGAGAGAGTCGAGGGACAACCGGTGTTGTGCCTGGAAGGCAGTGGGGTGATCCTCTAAGTGGCGATTCCAGTGACCGGAGCAGGCGGACGATGTGGTGCCGACCTGAGAGCCGAGTGGCAGAGGAGCTGCCGTGATGTCACTGCGAACGGCTGTTGACATAAGTGCTGTCTGTGGGGAGGTTGTATGTCCAATGGGAGCGGAGGTGGAGTTCCAATGAGAGTGTTGCAGCAAGAGCCGTGTGTGACAGGTGGTCAGATGCTGCGGTGGAGCGGTGTTTTGTGAAAGCCCTCTAGATCTTTGGACTCTTTTGAAAAAGTTAGAGCTGGTATTAAAAAGGCTTTTTTTTTTTTTAATTATTCAATTTGTCTCCCATTAACAGTGCATCCTGCAGTGGTAATAAGACAACGAAAATCGTACCGAAGAAAAGATGGGGTGTTCTTGTATTTTGAAGACAATGCAGGGGTGATCGTGAATAATAAAGGGGAGATGAAAGGTATGTCTGAAAGAATATTTCCCAGTGTGGTTAGCTGGGAATTGCTGGATTGTATTGTCTGTGGGCTGGCTCCAGAAGACTGTCATAAATTCTGCTTGAGTAAAGAGAAACCTGGGTTTGTTTTAAGGGGATCTAGGTAGGCTACTTTTCATTAGATTCATTTTTTGAAAGACTAGGGATGCACCGATACCACGATGCTGGGCATTTTCACGAGTACTTGTACTCGTGAAAATGCCCCGATACTAGGTGTGTGTGTATGCAGACTGCTTCAACAAACATTTGTGAAAGAATGGGTCGCTCTCAGGAGCTCAGTGAATTCAAGCGTGGCACTGTGATAAGTTGCCACCTGTGAAATTTCTTTGCTACTAAATATTCCACTGTCAGCTGTTAGTGGTATTCTAACAATGTGGAAGCAACTGGGAACAACAGCAACTCAGCGGTAGGCCATGTAAAATGACAGAGCGGGGTCAGCGCATGCTAAAGCGCACAGTACGCAGAAGTTGCCAACTGTCTGCAGAGTTAGAGTTAGCTACTGTCCTCCAAACTTTGTGTGGCTTTCAGATTGGCACAACAACAGTGCATAGAGAGCTTTTATGGACTGGGTTTCCATGGCCGAGCAGCTGCCTCCAAGCCTTACATCACCAAGTGCACTGCAATGCGTCAGATGCAGTGGTGTAAAGCCACTGGACTCTAGAGAAGTGGAGATGTGTTCTCTAGAGTGACGTATCATGCTTCTCTTTGGCAATCTGATGGACGTGTCTGGGTTTGGCGGTTGCTAGGAGAACGGCACTTGCCTGACTGCATTGTGCCAAGTGTAAAGTTTTGGTGGG